TTCGAGAGGTCCAGGTTCGAGTCCCGGCGACGACACTGCACATTTTTCACATCACCTGATTCAAAATAACCTAATGACTCTACAGGTGTAAATATTCCATCTAATTCCTCCAAGCTACCGATCTACATCTTCATTCAGTATATTAAAATATTAAATGAAGATGCTTAATTTCTAAATAAAGCTGCATAAATTTGCCTGAGTTGACAACTCAAGAAACTAATGCAAACCTCTCAAAATTTCTTTGCAGGAAAGAAATGCAAATTACATAATATGTTTTAATCATTACTGCAAATATGTAGGTTATATTTTATAATGAAAACTGTTACATTAATTGACAGTAAAGTTTATCATGAATATAAAATGAAACCTTTCGTGGCGATTATCTATCGCAGACAATTTCTATAAAGAAAGAATATTTCCGAGAACATAAAAAACTTCGGTACAGAATATCACTCCACTAAGCATACCTCTTCTGGAAAAGATCAAAATCGTCTAAAACAGAAAGTGGTTTTAGAGAAGTTTCACTGCAATAATTTTAATATGAATGCTATCATATGTGTAATCATGTATATCTATGAATTCGTGTTAAAATGTTTAAGCTTAGAGATTTAAAATCCTTAAAATAAACAACACGGTTCATTAAAATTAACTTTTGATTTTCTTTCATTCATTGATCAAAATTTAAAAATGGCAAATTTTATCCAATACATTATCGAAACTTCTCCATTTCATTCAGTCATCTCACAGTACTTTTTTTAAAAATATTTCCCAGCACTAAAGTTGTAATTTATTTTGTAGAAAATATATACTTTTTACGAAAGCATTGCCTATAAACATTAAATTGGTTTCAAAGTAAGTCTGAAAAGGCCTAAACATATATTTTTAGAAATCATATCTATAAAGCAATATCACCTTCATATTATATATCGAAGACCACTTTCAAGGCTTTTGTGAGCAGGAAACCTTGAAAGATCACCCGATCTTTCCGGATTTGAATCAGAATCAGTTGACAATCGGATATGTTGATCACTTCACAACAAAGGCCACAACGGAAGAATTCATTTTAATTCCTATCGCTGCATTTTATGGGCTTTCAGAATCCATATATACCCGTGCTTGTTGCTTGTGTAATGAAATCTTGATGAAGGATTAATATCATTCAAAACTTGTACACTAAAGTTTTGTTAATTATATGAAAATACATAAGGACTATCTGCTTAATAGGAGAGATGCCTTCATGGCTTTCAGACAGTGACACTTTTTAAAGGAAATTAGCTCATATCCATGTTACACATGTGGAAATCCACGAAAACTCCAGCTAGTTTGTCCGCATTAAAACATTAAACTTTGCTTTAAAATGATACTTTTATATTTCCCGAAATGTATATAAACTCTGGTTTTCTACAGTGTGTTTTTCGCATTCTTCATTAGAGTGACAGCACAATAAAATGTTAAGCTATTCCTTTACAGTACATTATAAGAATAGATAATTAAATACTAGGGAAACTCTTGCCCAGAGAAATTTTATCTGACTTATCACTCGGTATGAAAAAAGCTAAGAAGATGGTTACAGAAATTCCTTTCAAAATAGAAGTTGTATTTACTAATAATGTCATTAAAACAGAGCTCTAGTAACTAAGATGGTACTGGTAGATAAATATACGATTTTCTCATAGATGATAACTTATTATAATTAATTTTGACCCATCTACACACACTGCCTAATCAAACACTAACGCACATCAGCACAAAACCACTAAATACTAATCTTCAACAAAATATCGCAGCAGTATTTTAAGGTGTTCGTTGTAAGAACTTAGAGTAAAGAGAAGAAGATGCAAGAAATAGGATTAAAATCATTTTTATCATAATAATGACGAGCCGTAGGGCAGCATTAACACACTGAAAGAACATATATTAAGGCTCGTTATATTATCTATGAATGCAGATTACACACATTTTTAGATATCTCTAAATATCCTGTTCAAAACCACAAAAGTATTACATTGCTGGAATCTTTGTAGTTTGCCTTACTATTACATAATAAGTAGGAGCCATAGAAAATTTTCGCGTTTAAAAAAAAAAAGAGACTCTGGAGCAAGAGAAAATTCAAAACGACTGAGATAGTTCTCTCAATCATACTTGACCCGATGGTAGAGTTAATGGCTGATACTTTAATAACATTGGTAAACAAATACTGCAGTGAACCATATAATTTAGACATATGTGCTTTTAATTATTTCTTCGCTCAAATCACCGCAAAAGTTTACTAAAATTTGTCGGCCAGTGAATTATTATCATTCATGCCCCATACCAGAAAGCAGGTTTTGGCATCAAGGTGCAAAAATTGCAAAGGCTTAGCAAATGGTTTAGTACTAAATGAGCTCTCTGCCCATTGTGTGAGTTTAATATTTTTATTCTAATGAACATGTTCTAAAAAACACCATTTTCTTCCTATCTATTTCCCGTAAACATCAATGCATTTACTACAACTTTTAACCAGCTCCATGATTCTCGAAAAGAAAGTCTTGTCATACTTTTCAAAATAATGCTTGATAGCTAATTCCACTTTTCAATCATCGGTCAAATATTTCCTTCGCAAGCATTTCTTGAAATAGTGAAACAGAAAGAAATTATTGGGTTTAAGATTACAGCGAATGAAGCACGTGACAGGAAACTTCATAGTTAGATTTTCTCATAATAGCTTTCGGAAAATGGGAATCCCTGTCATTGTCTGTCAAAATGCACTGTCTGGGAGTAGCAAAATTCGAACTTCAGCTTAAGCTTAAAGCTAGTCCTTCATAGCATGAGAAGTAGAACGAATACTTTGCTTTAACATGCATTCATGATTTTATTTTATATGGGAGGTAAACGATCAGCAGTATACAATCATCTTCCCAACTACTTGTTGACGTTTCTACGTTTCTTCCCGTGCATACGATTGAGTCTTGAATTTCTTTGGGGGGGGGTGAGTAACCGCAATGATTTCTCCCCGTTTATAACCTTCAGATACCTGTGGCAAATCCATGCTTCATTTCCTAGACACAATACAGAGACATTAAGTATTTTTGGAAGCAGGCATCATGAAAAATTATCACCGCCTTCGCCGGGAATCGAACCAAGGACCTCTGGAATATCGGCCCAGTGTGCAGACCATCACACCACGAAGGCATGATAGGAAGGCGGGAGAAATATCTTATAACCAGATCCCATAAAAATCTTTCAATGGCAAGTGAGTACCCCACTCACTGCCCGATGCAAGCAAGCAACAGCGTGTCGCTGCCTGTTTGTCATTCTTTACTCGGCACCACAATGCATCCATATTTGATCGAGTACTCACCAGCGATGAAACGTGGGTTCAGTATGATACACCCAGGCGTTCCAGACATTGGTTGTCACCACGGGACCCTGCGCCTCATACTGTGAGACCTTATCTTCACCCACGTGAGATCATGCTCTGTATCTGGTGGACTAATCGCCAAACGGTGCCCTATGAGCTCTTGCCAGTGGGCCAAACCTTCACGGCAAGCCTGTACTCGCAGCAGTTGAAACGTGTGTATCAGGCAACTGATGCATAAAGAGCCAATATTGGTAAATCGTAAGGGTATACTCTTCCTCCATGACAATGCGAGGCCGCGTGTGGTTCGGGAGACCAGGGACAACATCCAGCGACTAGGCTGGGAGACACTACTCCATCCACCTACTCCCCAGACCTCACTCCAATAGACTACCACCTTTTCCATTCCCTAGACAATCATCTTCGTGGGAACTCCTTCAGCAACCGGTCAGACCTCGAAAAAGCCCTCGCGGACTTCTTTGCATCCAAGACTCTTGAGTTTTATCGCGATGATATCGCACCGCTAGCCACTCGTTGGCCAAAAGGCACTGGATGCCCATGGTGATTACTTTGAGGATTAGTAGTGATTATTATTTGTGTTATGACCTTTTCTTTCTGACTGTCCAAAACGGCAAGAACTATTTTGGTTACTTTGTAAATATTCATATGCTCTCCTCCAAAAAGTAGGATAACGTTAAAAATATCAATAAAAAGCTGTTCGACAGTCAACGGTATTCAAAGTGCGGTTAACGCGTTATGTGCTGCCACCAAGCATACCAGTGTTTATAAGAACAAAGAAATTTAAAACATGTTAATGTTACCTAGAATTTCAGGCTCGATGTTCCCTATTCTGAAATAATGCCCTCCAGACGTTAGCAAAAAATATTCACTTTTAGATCTTCAGCAATTATGCCAAATTTAAACAAAAATCAATGACCGAGGTATCCTTGTAAGACACACTCACCTTATCAACTTTACCTTAGTGGTCACAAAAAAAAAAAAGGGTGGGCGTAGTTAGCTATATTAATGAAGAACTTTGCAATATCCACAGGTTATTTCAATCCCATTGAAATGTTGCATCACATTTGCAGCTTAATGAATTTACCCTCTTTATCTTCATTACTAAAATAGGCCTGAAAACTTCTGTCATGAACTAAGTTCGGAACAAAGGGCTTCTGGGCGGTGCTGCCGTATCACTATCAATTCCAGGAGTCGCTTTTCAATCGTTATGATAGAACTGTGGGAAAGGGGGAGCAATATTTCCGATGAGTAACAATAACATTTAGCACCAAATAAGCCAAGTGATTGAGCTAGCTAAACTCCTCTATATGAACATAATAATTTCTTTATGCAAAGGTGCAGCATAAGACAAGTCCATGTACATGGTTTTGCTTTCGAAAATAAAATATCACTTGGATTATTAATAACTTAAAAACGCGTTTGCTATAATGAAGTCAAGTATTATAACAGAACATTACTGAACGCACACAAGTCGCTTTAAAATGTTTAGAAAGAAGGATTTAGCTTGTAAGATACCACAAAAATGTTTGTGAAAGGATTTACAGTTTAAAATACTTATTACATCGGTAAATTGACTTAACTAAAATAGAAGTTACATAAAAATACAAGACTAACTAATTCTAAAATAACAACAAAACACTGCTTAACATATTAATAAATAAATTTTATTGAAAACTTCAGCTGGAATTCATAAAATACATAGATTGCTTTGCCATGTCATGTTCATCATCAATACATTTAACAATATAAATAAAAAGTCTCTTAATTTATCTTCATCAACAGGCTGTTTAGCATAAATTTTCATTCATTATTATAAGAGAAAATAAATTTTACCTTGAAACTTTTAAAATGAAACTCGTAACTCTAAAAATACGCAAAAAAAAAAAAAAAAAAAAAAAAAAAAAAAAAAATTACTTTTATCAACAATAATTAAAAGAAGAGACCTAACAAAAGGGAAATTTAAAAGAGGAAAATAATTTGGGTTGTATTAAAGCTTAGTTGAGTTTCAAAACTTGAAGCATTTAAATATATATATCATTATAGTTTATAATTACCAGATGAGATTTTAAACTCAAGCACCATTCGAAATTATAAAATCAAAATCAAATATACTGCAAATCAAATACTGTAATTGTAAATTCACTTAACTAGTTTAAATTGCAAAGTATAATACTGCAATATACCACTATGTTTTGCTCCAATAATTCAAGAAAGTTATTTAAAAAAATACATTAATACTGATTCGAAATATTTTAACATCTGCTGCATAAAATAATTTCTTTCACAAGCATGAAAATAAATAAATGTGTACATTACAATGAATGCTCTGGTAAATTTTTATTATATATTCATACTGTAAACATATATTTATAATTTTAGCATGAATACCGTTAAATTAAATCACCACTCTCTAGGGAAGAGTGAAATGATAAAATGAATAACTTAATTCGGAATCGTATTTTACTTATCAGCGTTTCTTGAACTGTGGATCCTGACTCCAAATGAGGTTTACAATGAAAAATGTTAGGATCGCGAAAATTTAATTCAGATAAGGGAATTTAAAGAAACTTTAGTTGCAATCCCTTCATTATCTTTAATTTAATAAATAACATTTTCTGTACAGCGCAATTATAAAATCGTAATACTGACCAAGATGAGCTGCAGATTATATTTACATATCGAAAAATACTACAAGCACATCATAATAGCAGTGTCACATTGTAGTTTCGGCATGCAAGTTATTTCAGAATCAAAATAAAGCATCATAAAATAATCAAAATAATATGTAAATTGTAAATGTTTAAAAAATTGTAAATTGCAAAAATTATTATAGATGAATTTAAAACTCCCAAAGCACAGTTCTGCAAATATTTTGCATCGAATTTCGATTTCAAAATGTTCATTGAAAAACTTATTTTGATTGACATTAATGAGTTTAATCACCACCATATAAAGTGCAAGAGGAGTTTGTTCAGCCACCGAGTGACTCAAAACGATTTTCCACAAAATTCTTGACTGAATTCTGGATCTGAGTTAGATCTGAATTTCTCCCCAATTTCAGAAATGGCATTAAATTTTCTGCCATTTAGCACCGCATCATGTGACACGAATTTTTCGGCTTTAATACTCATTAAATCTCAATATAGTTCAACCCGATATTTGGATACTTTACGTCCAACAGTGTCAAATTTTTCACCAAGATTTAATTTGTTGCGAAGCAAAAAACAAGCACATCTGTCTCATTAAACATGATTTCCTTTCAATAATTTTTGTATTTTTATGCCTTTATTTCATATTTAATACCTGGAGTAGCAAAAAATCTCGATAAAGATTTAAAAAGCACTACACTAGATGATGATTATGAGTATAATAGCTATTAGAATTGAATAAAGCAATCCTGTAGTAAATAAAAAAAAAAAAAAAAAGGGAACTAGAATCTCAGAGGAATAGGAAATATTTTCTCAAAATCCAAAATTTCAAGAAAACTACAAGTTGTTCATGATTCATTTTGATTTACATCCATAACACAAGCTGCATGAATTCGTCGATACAATTTGCACATGCTTCGTCAATAAACATACGAGAATAAGGCATAAATTTAGCTGTCTTGTAGACACAGAAGAACATCTGAGTAACTGAATATACTTTAATATCCCAGCCAGCCAAAGTGGCATACAACTAGAATTATCTTAGCTACAAGTTATCAACCAAACAAATATTTAAAAATTTCAAAATTAGGGCAAAATTTTTAAGGCACTTAAGCAGCTTCTGTATATTTTTTGGTCAAAACTTTACATGCAAAACTTGGAATGAGGTCTGCATTCACATAAATAATGAATTATTGTGAAATATTCAGTAAAACAACCATATAATTCCTGAAAACAAACATTTTCAGCAAACTAAAGAAAGTCATATTCAAATGAAAATGAACTGTGCTTAAGACCAAATAAAAAGGGAGCTGCGTTTTATTAGGTGGATGTAGGAATAAAATAACAATACAGAATATAATTACATAAAATTTTACACTGTAGTCGTTTTTCAGCATCCTAAGTCCAACAAATTTTGGTAGCTCCACACTGCATTTATCTCGTTTTTGTTGTAAAAATATTCGTCACATCAGCTTCTAGTTCTTTTTAATAATTCTAAAACTTTCATATTACACAACTGAGGATATTTTCTGAATACATAATGAGATCCCTCTTCAAATGATATCAAAGTTAGCCAATGCAGATCTTTTCCTAAATAACAGCAAAACACACACACACACAAAAATAATATTTATATTGAAATTCACTACTTGTAAAGTACATAAATAATTCATTAACAAAGAACAAATTAAAGACTAAAACATTTCTACAGCAATAGACTTTTATAGCAGACAAAATTAATCTTAAAACTAGCCCTGGTTTTAATTAAATGCTTTATACATTTCAAGTCATTCTCTTGTAAGCTTAGTTCTTTGAAAATAACATTGTTTCTTGAAGAATGCATCTAAATGGCATTCTCAAAATATACAGGTGTTCTTCAGAATGCATCTAATTGAAATCAACCTTTTGGAACTCTTCTTTACGATAAAAATTCTGACATTTTCTTTGTGTGTTAGCTGTGTTCAGATTTAACAAAAACATTTTGTATAACATCTAAAAATGTACTGACGAATTTTAACAAAATTTGGTAGAAAGACGCTCTGTGGCCTCAAGAAGAAAGGCAATGTAAAAACAGAACACTACTTTGCTGCGAGATGTACATCAAAAGATGCCTAAAAATATGGTGCCTCAGATCGTTCAGCAAGGGAAAGGAACGTCCATTAGGAATCTTTGGAATGTGTCTACTCCAAACGGCCCTGCAGCTTCCGAGCATTATTTCCTTTAAAGGACCGTTCATAAATGCTGTAGCCCTCTAGCATTGGTACATTGAAGCAACTGCTATCGCTTTCTTTTAGTTTTTCTTTTTTTGTTTGTTTGTTAGTTTAATATTTTATATTAAACAAAAATAATATATAAAATACATTTTATAATTTTTATTTTGTTTAATATTTTAATTGCGATTTTCGCCAATAAAGAGCGCCTGCAAAATGCATGTTCATCAGGATTTCTGCTATTGGCAAGAATAGAACCGAGGACCACTTGGTCTCGAGCCCGGAGCTTCACTGATCACTCCAAATCAGTTATCATGACGCGAGCAATAAATAGCCGGGTCTTGTGCGCCGCTTACATAGTGTCGCGAGCGAAACCTTTTGATCCCATGAGTGTAGTTTGAAAGATCCCCCATCTGTTGGTGTGTGTTCTTGCTGTTAGGCTTTTGGGGATGGAGTGTAAGCAGTAGTTACTCTGACGATGTTGGTTGAATGGGTGTGGCTGCGTTAACATGTGTTCGACGTTACTATGATGCAGCTGTCTGAGCGCTAAGAAGCGGTAGCAGAGCATCCAATCACACTCGGGTTACCACTGCGGCGGAAGCCATTTGTTTTTGTTAGACCTAACCGGTTTCATGGTGTCCTCTACAATTAGTATAGAGAAGCAGATGCTTTCTTTTTTTTTTTTTAAATAAGTTTTTAGTTGGATGTTTTAATGGCGATGTTCACCAATATAGGGAACTTGTGTAACGCCTGTTCTTCGAAATTTATACTGCCAGCAAACCTGGGTTTTTTGTAGGTGGCATTTGCAGAGCCCCGCACCATTCTTTTCCAATGAAAGATTTTAATGTTTGTCTCGTGAAGGTGTAAACATACTTCAGTTACCTCATACAGCCTCCTACACATGCCCAATAGTGCTGCAATCTGGAGACCTAGCTAGTAACTTCATTTAGTGAATATAATTCTCTTTGGGGAAATCCTGAACCAGCTCAGTTCTATGTTCCTTATGGCTGTTATGAAAAAGAATTCGGTACAAAGGATATCTGGGAGAAGCCTTAAATACATGGATCTTATCTTCATGTGGCTTCGTAATCTCAACTCCCTATGTCGAAGACTTGAGATCAAGGTATGACTGATAGAACAATACCACTTCACTATTTGTGATCGCTTCATTTCCTTTATGCTGGAGAGACAAATGCGCCTTTACATAGAAACACATCAAGAATTAATATATACACTATACTTGCCTCATCTGAGAAGAGGTGTTTCGTTTTAATGACAATAAAATTCATGAGCTATCTTGTATGAAGAAGAAAGGGATACATGCATTACAATGGTTACCAAGGGAAATGTCCCTTTTCTGCTAGCCTTTATAATTTTCCTTGATATCGCAGCTCAACAGACAACGACGGGCTAAAATGATTACTCTCTAGCTGTCACACTATACAGTAACTTATGGAGTCACTCAATCAGATGCAACAAGTTTCTTGAAACTGTTTCATTGACATGCATAACAATTTTTGAAGACCTACAGCTATCGGGGAGGGCTGTTCCTACGAGGACCAGACAAGTCATTCAGCCATTCTTAATTATCATTACCTCGGTCTACTTAGCATATTCTGATTTATTTTACCACTGTTATTACTTTATGCACCCACCAAAAAATATCACATTTCATCTTGTATAAATTGGATACTCATACATCAATTCCAAATCAAATGGATAACAAATAGCACTTTTTTATTCAAAGTATAAAACTTTTATCAGTTCAGAAATTTTGTTGGTACATATTTTGTTATTTCGAAAAATGCATTTGTTACTTCGATTTTGGACATCAGTGCAAATGAAAACACAATAAATACATAAACTGGATTTGAATGGATGTGTTTTATTGTGTATATAACTATTCTATAACCCTCTAAGTGAATAATTAACTGATTTTGAAAGAAACCAGAAAAAACCTGGAAAAGAAAAATGAATACTTTTCAAGAAAATACTCTTTAGCAATGTTTAGTCATCTCAATTCTATGTACACATTAAGCAAAACATACTTTATGTAACCGGTTTAAAAACTGAATAACAAAAGCAATAGATTATGAAAACATATGGAATATTTTAGTATGATTTTATAAACTAAAATGTATTTTATATATTTTTAATTTATTTTAAATGTATTTTAAATTTAGTCTATGAAATATTAAATAGTTCATAAATATCATACTTGGTGTTTCAAACATTATTTGCTTGAAAATAGGAAAAGGAAATTTAAGTGAGAAATTAATTTTAGAATTTTAGAACCTTAAGAGCAAAATATTTCAGAAAACTCTGGTTACATAAATTTGACAATTCAGTATTATATTTTTATAATTTTTTGTTGAAATTAATTACTGACAAATATCTATCACTTTTATGTTCTCCTTTTGCCATTATTGGAAATTAAAATTAAAATAGTTTAGGAAATTAGCTTTTGAATATGTTATCTATAAATTACGAGCAATAAAAACTTTTAAAATTTCAAATAACAATATAAAGCAGAAGTAGCAAACAAACAAGAATTACCCTCTTTCTTAAGTACTCCATTTTTGTCATAAAAGTTTATATTTTCTTCACATGCACCCAAGAGTGATATAACGTCATATGTCAACTTTTTTTCAACAACTTTGTCATCTTCACTGAAGGCGTAAAGAGTTGGTATCTTCTTCTGAGCAATTGCTTGAAACTCTTCTGAGGCCTAAACAGTTTCAGAGAGTTAAATATTTGATCCTGATATAATATATACATTACACATAAAGACTACATAGTTTTTTAATTAAAACCCAGAAAATTGCATTTAGAGAAATGTCATGTTGTATAGTCTAACATTTAGAATATTCTAAAAAATAAATAATGTCGGTAGATAAAAAGTAGAATTTTATTCCTACATTTTCTCCATCTACTCAGTTTTATATCTCAAGTGTGCTACTTTTATAAAACTAGAGGTGTAAACATAAATACAAATGATGATACATTAAAAACAGCACTATAATGAACAGCTATGCTAGAATATGTAATGCTAATTCTATCAATTTCATATCCATATTATATTATTTGTAAAGCATCTAAGCAATAGCATAGTGGTGCAGCAAATAGAATGATATAAAATTAAAAAGAAAAGATAAATTTAAAATTTATTTTATTTGTATTGCTATTTCTTATTAACATCCATTACATAATATAATTATGTACAGTAACATTTCAGTTTGCAACATAATTTGAATTTTTTAAGGAATATTGTGATATTTCATGAAGTTTCCTTAACTTTTTTATTATTTTGGCTTACACATAAACTTAAGATTACGAATTTTTAAAGTCAAACAGCATGCTGCGAAATTAATTAATTAATTAAGAGGCAATAATTAAATAAATTACATTTGAGCTCTTCCTGATAGATAGTTGACCATCAGTTCTGATTTAATTATTATCTCTTGACTATATCTATACACCATAAAAAGTAAGCAACTGCACTATACTTATAATAAATTTTTCAGAACTGTGTCATTTCAAAATTATACATAAAATTTTAAAATCTTGTTTTATGATTCTTATATAATGCTAATGGTAAAAGTGAAACTAAAGTCTTTTATGAAGGAGTAACGATGACTTTTGCAAAGCAAAACTTTTAAGCAACCAATGAAACAAAGTGGAGCTCCCATCTTACGCTTGCTTCTGTTCTGTGAACATGTCATCTACCATTTCTCGTTTCGTCATCCGGTGATCGTGAATAAAAGTATTTAATTAACAAGTGCTTAGTAAAAGATGGAGATTTTAAGTACTTCAAAGTTCAGTCAACCATGCGAATGCTTACAGAAATCTAAAACCGATTTTCATCAAGCCTGCGTGAAAAATTCTTCATTTTCTTCCCATATCCAAGGTTTAAAATATGCTGGTCGCAAACAGAAACTTAAAATTACTCTCTTTCAGCTAATGTGACTTAAATTACAATTATCTTCAGTAATAAAAATCTAATGTATGCGCAATTTTACATAAAATGATATTAAAGTTACATTTTTATAGCTTTCATATTACTGTTTTGAAAAAGTATATATTATTTCAAAAATGAAAACTTAATAACTCAGGTATTTACATTAAACAGCTTTTAGATTATTTTAAATAGTTTTGGATTTATAAATCTTGGGGGAGTATGTATTTCTGTTTCTTCTTTAACTAGTGTATGCTTATTTGTAGCAATGGAATAATTTATTAATTAATGCTGTTAAAAAGGCTTTTCACAATCAGCTAGAAAACTGGTAATAATAATAAGTATTTTGAATTTTAGATACGTAATCCTATTTTTCAGATAATGAGATTAAATAAAACTCTATGCTATTAGAAATTTTATTTTCACTATTCATGTGGAATAAGTTATGTAATGTCTATTTCAAAATTTCAAATATTTCAGTTAGGGAAGGTTACTAAAATTTAATGTAATAATTATTATCATTATTTTGAATAATTTTGAGAAAGAGGTTAACTACGAAATATGATTACCGTATATTTCCGTGTTAAGCTGAGAATTTTTGGAACGTTTCCTAAAGCTAGGGTGTCGGCTTATATATGGATTCACTAATCTCAGGAAAAACCGTTAGCCGGGTGAAAACGCTAAATATCGAAAGCGAAAGTAAGTGTATATTTTTATTATTTAAAATTATGAAAAATAATTGAAAAATTATGAAAAATAATTTTAAATGAAATGAGTTATTCGTTTTATGAAAATGAGTTATTTTATGCTCGAAACTGAATTGTTTATACTGCTGGTTTGTTGCGTCATCGCCAAAACGAAAATTCTGACGTTGGTGAAATTTGCAACCCACTTTCTTCCACTCTCGAACTTGTTTTTCATTTACGGACAAATACCGAGCAGCCATACTGTTGCTAGAATTTTAGGCAAACATTGATGATCTTAGTTTGAAATTTGCCGTATAAGAATTTATTTTCGCGTTTATTATGCAGACAAAAACAAAATGGCACAAAAAACAAGATTAACAAAAATACTCAGGCTCGAATTATATTTTTTTATATAATCCGGGCCTATATAGGTATATACAGATTTTTGCCCTTACATACATTTTCACCATTTTTTTTTTTTTTTTTTTTTTCATTATTCCTTTTTACCCCAATATTGTTTTAGCTGTACATACATTCCTTGGTAAAACTGCCAATGGAAATTTTTTGGTCAGAGGTTCGAACCCCGCGCACGGGCTAGGTGCATGGGCGTGTTCGTGGTTTTCCCCGTGTGTTACGTGTTAATACGAGCCAGTTTTCCTTAGAAAGTCCTCCACGAAAGTATCCCTCCCTTTCCGTGTAGTGCCTTGTAGCGAAACACGTAAATAATAATAACAATCTTTTTGTGGTGTCCCCTTTCCCTGATGGCCTAAGCACGTGCTTATTTTGCTTAATGTTTAATACAACCCTACAGATACCACTTATGACCCCACATATGGCATTAATATATGACCATCGTATACAAGAGAACAAATGAATGGAATAAATGTGCTAGTTTCAAACAGGGTTACCAGAGTTAAAACTATCATTGTTGGTGTCTGGCGTTTTACTTTACAGCGATTTCATTGGAAAAGTTTCCACTCCTTTTACCTACGAATAAGTATTTTCTTCTCAGAATAAAAGATTTTTTTAATTCATCACACAAAGAAGATGAGTAATAGCGGGAATAAGAGTGAATTATATTTTCCGTAGAATTTTTTTAATTTTTATGAGACAGTTTAATTCAGTTTTCGAAAGGCCAATTATGCATTGAACAAAGGCCTTTCCAAGTAACTGCTTGAGCACCCCTTAATCTTTTGTAAATTAACATATTACTAAAAAGAGGATATGCCAAAAACTTCTTTGTTATTACCGCCAAAATTATTGATAAACCGCCAAATTATGTCGCAGAACGTTGCCAAACGCCCGGCAGTCCTGACCTCGTTCACTGTTTATCATGGAAAAAAAACAACTCTGAAAAGGGCACGTGATATTGTTGTATTTTTATAGTGTTTCCTTTTTCAAAAAAATAAAAGTGTACAAAGAACTGAAGAATACGAGATATTCTTCCAAGAAAAGGGCATTTTACTTCGCAATCGAATACACGAAAATGACCATGAGATAAAGGAGCTGAAATTATAAGCAAGCTCCAATATATGACTACGGTTAAGAATGTTAGGAGCTTGGCAACAATTGTTGGTTTATCAATATTCTTAGCTCCATTTAAATACGATAGCCATAATAATACGGAGGTATGCATATGCTCAATTTTATACCTCAATGTCTGTTCTTTAGAGAACTGCACAGCCTTCTGTTTGTGCACAATTCAGAAAGTAGCGTGAAAGTGAATTAAATATTAGGATAAAAATGGAATTTTAATGCAACTGAGTATTTATGATAACAAAAGGAAAATTAAAAATATACAAAAAATTGAAGCTTTATAAAATTTTGTTATAATAAATTCAAATAAGTTGCCAGTTTTTTTTTTTTTTTTTTCTTTGTGTGTGTGTGTGTGTGTGTGCGTGTGATAAAAATGAGCACAACTTCAAAGCATTCCCTAAATCTTCATTATATTATCATTTTAAAGCAATAAATCTGCATGTGAATATTATTGATGCATTTTTAGGTTATAAGCTTAGGAAACATTTGTGTGAAAATGCTTGCGATGGTCGCGTGGCTGCATTGGTTGCAAGGGATGCACACTGCGAAAAAAAAAAATGGGACAGTTCTATATCTCTAACTGGGCCGACTGACAAAATTCAAATTGCGTTTTTCATGTCTGGAAAGCGCGACTTAGGATTTATATTAGATTTATATATAGCATTGTTCTAACATAGGTATTTTGACACAAAATTAGACCTTTTTCTGAAATAACATACCAATTTTTTTACATATTTCGATTCCATGACTCAAATTATGACTAGATATTTAATTTTATCAAATTGTTGCGAAATTTACAGAGAAATTCAAAAATTTATCTTGGCACAAATTTTTCAGTTTGCGCCAAGAATAATTCACTTGGAGAACTTCTTAATATATGGCAACCACTTTTCCTTTCCCTTCCATTATGCCAGAGTGGAAAAAAAAGGCACCTCATTCCTACCTTTTTACGTTGTGCATAAGCGAAAAAAAGTCCCATCGTTCTTACCTTCAAATAATTTTAGCAAAGTGTCTAAACCACATTTGATGTTTTATCGCTTTCAACAAATATGCCAACTTTCAAAAAGTGCCAATATATAAATTCAAGTATATCTTCGGAAATTTTGAATAAAAAATTGTAATTTTTGCAGGTGTGCTTAGAAATACGTCTACTTTAAGATGATGGTAAAAATTTTATAGATTATAATTAAAATTTGTTTTAGAAAATTTATAAAAATTATTTAAAAATACAAATTTTAAAAATAAATTATAAAAAATAGGTGAATTTTATTTGGAATGAACCTGAATTTCGAAATGTGAAAGGAAGAATCAAATACGTTTAATAAAAAAGAGAGATTAATAAATATACACCAAAGTCAATTAACATGGAGGAGCTAAAATTTTGAAAGCTAATTTTTTAAAAACTACTCGTGCGAATTTTATAAAACTTGGTAGTTTGAAGTAATTTGACTCGTAGAATTGAAATATGGGAAAAAGGTGGTATTTTATTTCAGAAAAAGTCCGATTTTGTGTCAAAATACCTATATTAGAACAATGCTATATATAAAACTAATACATATCCTTATATTAGAACAATGCTATATGCTATATATAAATCTAACACATATCCTAAGTCCCGCTTTCGAGACACGCAAGTTGAATTTCGTCAATCGGCCCAGTAGAACCGGAGATATAGAACATTTTTTTTTTTTACTGCGCAGTGTACATGCCAAATGTCACAAAATTTTAAATTAAACAATGTACTAGTAAATTAGAAAGGAATATCATAGAAGGATATTAAAGTGGAAAAAGTTCAATTTCGGATTATTCTTATTTACTTTAACAGATCTCTCAAGAAAAGCCAAAAAAAGATGATAAAAATACCGAATTCTGAAATTCGGTAAATTTTTGTTATATGGGAATCAAACTTTTCAGTTTCCCTTTTCTATAATGAGCACAGACGTTTAATAAATTTAACTATAAAGACCAAGAGATCATATAAAAAGTTAAGACTTCATAATTTTTAGAATACAGACATTTTTAAGTTTTAAATGCAACAACATGATTATTTGTGTCATTAAAAGCACTTTTTTTGGCAGCTGGATGTATATGTCTATGATCAATGTCAGCGAAAATAAAGGCTGTATAAGGAGTTCTTTGGACACAGTGTATATTACCATTATCTCGCAGTTCTTTTAGTTAATGCGTATTCTTCTAAAAAACCAACAAAAATTATCTAATTTGGATAAATACTGCCCTTACCGATTGCACCTAATGGCTTGCCAGGGCCGGATTAAGACTATTAGAGACCCTAAGCACTTAAAGATTTTAGTGCTCTCATGTATGTTTATGCCAGTTTTATGTTTCATTCCTACTCTCTGTCGGTTTTGTTTTAGCTGCACCATGCATTCCATGGTAAAACCGGCAATGGGAAATTTATTGGTGCCTTTTTTTTTTTCTGAATACCCAAGGAGCTTTTTGTAGTGCATTCCTTTCTTTGATTCCCTAAGCATGTGCTTATATTGCTTAATGTTAATCCAGCTCTGCAGATTGCTTTGGATATTATGAATTAAAACACGTATGATGGCATTCATTGATAAAGCAAGAGAATACGGATTAATTACCTGAAAAAGTTACTTAAATTCAAAAAATGCATAGCAAAATTTCTTTAGTATTCACAGATCAACTTATAGAATAAGGTACCAGTACACCTTTGAAAATCAAATCACACTTGCAATACAGATTTAAAAGACTTGTAATAAGAATAAAGTTTTAAAATGACAATTTTACAAATAATAACTATTAAATTATAACACAAAAGATGGCACAGACAGTATTAAAAACCTTAAATTTCTGAAGTAAAGCATATATATGATACTTACATTCCAGCATTCAGAAAAAACCATTGTGATTGCTAACAGCATTATTCCATCAAAATTATCATCTTTTATTGGCGTTCGCATTACGTACTTCATCAAGAATTTTCCGATTTTTTGGACAAGCATCCTTCCAAAAGCATTTAAATATAGATATGAACATATCCACACTACCCAGTAAGGCTTCATGGTTCTAGGAGATAATGTCAAAAATAAAATCAATTACTTATAATATATTAATCTAATTCACTATTTTTACATAATATGAATCAGAAGTTTTTAGCTGATAAAAAATGTATACTCTTCAGAATTTGAAACAAATTTTTAGTTCAGGTTTATTTGTGTAATTTAATGCTACTTCTTTAGGCAACATAATTTATTGTCAAGAATATAATTAAGAATTATAAGTACCCACATATGTATGAGTGTGTCTCGTTATATACATTAACAGAAATTTTTAAATTTTTCGAAGAATCCGAAAGTTTTCAATTAAAAGGAAATTAACCAATTACGACTTTATATTTTTTCTTTTGTTTTTATTTTTCGAATATCACATCTTTCACGCCAATAGAGTATAAAAATTAAATCTGAATAAAAGGTGGTGGTGTGGTGTATTTAATTATGGCAAAGCACACTAGGGCTATCTGCCTAGGGAGGGATGCCTTCGTGGAGGACTTTCTAAGGGAAACTGGCTCGTATACACGTTACACATGGGGAAAACATCGAAAACACCCATGCAGCCAGCCCGTTCGCGGTATTCGAACCTCGGACCGAACTACCAGTGTTCAGCGACTTTACCGCTCGGCCGCTGGTGGGCCCTGAATGAAAAGAAACATCAAGTATGGCTACGGTGTGTAATATTTAAAAGGAACTGTAGTTGGCTGTATTGACTACGTTACGTGACTGCTCGGTCCGTTGCGACGATTAGCTGTTTATAAATTATCTTAAGAATGGATAGATAAGACTTTCTTTTCTGATTAGAGCTCGTCTGAGTTAGCATTTATCCTTCAAGAAACTGAGAACAAGAAATTTTGTTTAATTTGAATACAACGACCAGTTTATACTAATTGTAAATAGATAATTTCTTCTAGAAAGTCATTAATATTTTATTTTTGAAGTTATAAGTATTAATTATCAATAATTGTATTAGTTATTACTGTTCTGTATGTTTATTTTCTTAACCTTAAGTTTTATGACCACGAAACCTCTTCTCATAGAGTGTGATATAACCAAAGCATCCACATAAATATAGAGAATAATTAAAGCCTAGATCCTATAACTTCAGATGGCATTTATTTAAAAATAATCTTGCAAAATGAATTAATTTGCTAGAAGCATTAAAAATACATTAAACAAGTACTAAAATGGAAGCTCCATGGCTATGCCGTTAAACTACAAACTAAGCCCACTAACAAACATTTAAAAGATATTTCAAATAGCAGATAAATTCCTAAAATTTCTTTAAAAATTTCTATTCCCTAATAAATCTTGAATTGTATGTAAAACAGAATTCTAATAGTAATATTTATCATGTGCATGATTTTCACAAGTATACACAACTTCCATAAAATTCCTTATGCGGCGTTAATTTTTACATTCGTGGTAGTAGATGCATATTTCCGACAACAAAAATGATTTAAATTAGAAACTAGTTATGTTTTGGCCTCTCTAATTTAAAATATTCTGCTTGAGAAAAATTACGATATCCAATTTCTATATGGCTTCTGGGCTCTATCCAGCTACATATAGTAAGACATCAGTTGTTCATATATTTATTCTAAAAAATAAAATATGAAGTTTGACACAAATACGACAAAAATTGTTCACGAAATTTCAATTCAAAATTGGAGATTATATTTAGGGGACGCAGACAAATAAATGAGCAAATTGTTTGCATTTATACATATGTAAAAATACACTGTTAAATTTGCAACACCAGGAAGGAATGATCTGACGAACGTTAAAAATTACATGAAAAGAAGAAGAGGTTGGGATATGGAAATGATTAGTATTTCAGCATAATTAGACGCCGCAAGAGGGAAAAACGACATCTGAAGCACTACACAAAAGAAAAATTGTGTAGTAATTTCTCATTCGGAAAGCGCTTTGTAAGATTGGACTTTGCTCAAAATATCGTGTTATGCCTCGAATAATAAGAAGAAATGCTTACCAGCAAGTGTTGGAATTTGGTAAAGGCCTATCGAGAGTGTAAATTATCGTTCCGTGATATCGCCCGTCGCACTGGTCGATATTTCTAACTATTGTCATGCGAATATGGAATCAATGGGCTGCTGAGGGTCATACTGAGCAGCATGCAGGATCTCTACGCCCTCCCATAATTAACGCCCGAGAGGGCAGACATATTGTGAGGTCAGCCCTGCAAAACCGTACACCACATCACGGACCATTAGTAAGGAAATGGCCATGTTTGTAGCACGCCCAGTGTCCGCTCGTACGGTGCGTCTACGTAAGCAGCAGCGTGGACTATCAGCACAGCGATCACATACTTCGGCTTCCCTTAACAATGCAGCATAGAGAAGAGAGACGGCGACACTGGTGCGCCGAATGCCAAAGCTGGATACAGGAGTGGCATAATGTCAGTTCTGGTTTTTCATTTGTAAAATGAAATTTTCAGTTCCGGTTCTGCGTGCAGTACTCTGATGGCAGTATACGTGTCCGGAGGCTCCGAGGAGACCGCACGTCTCCTGCTTGCATTGGATATCGACATACGGGTCCTGCACCTGTGTGATAGTTGGGCAGCCATTGGGTACATGACATGCACATCTCTATTCAAATCGAAGGTAATTTGAACGTAGATCGGCACCTGACATCTTACATCCAGTGGTTGTGCCCTATCTTCGAGGCTTGCCAAACACCATTTTTAAACAAGATAATGCAAGACCATATGTTGCACGTTCTGACCATTCTCGATACACAGGGTATTCGACCACATGGTCTTCAGATCTGTCACTTATTGAAAACCTCTGGTAATGGGTTGCTGACAGACTGGTCCACCACTCCTCTCGGTTGATGAAGTGTGGCACAGACTTGAAGCGGCATAGAATTACACTCTTAGACTAAAAAAAAAAAAAAAAAAAAAAAAAAAAAGGACGCACCGAGAAGATATAAAGCAAATTGGACACGCATTTCGACGGAAAATGCAAAATTTTACATTTTGGCTGCCAATGAATGTGAATGAACGGTTGTCGCTACAGCGCATCTGATCTGCGAAACTAGCAGGTTATTTAAGAGGAGAAATTACGATTCCAGGTGATAGATTCTTCACGAATTTCATTCCGTGTACTCTGGTAGACAGTAACTATGCCTCGCATACTCATGCGCGAACGATATGCGCAGATGTCAGAATTTGAGAGAGAAAACTTTTACAAAACTGCATTAAAATTTAAAAATTTCAAAACTTTAATTTTTGCGTAATTTAAAACATTTTTTGAAATCAAAACTGAATCAAAATTATATGTCTACGATCAATGGTTTGAAAATGAAGATCGAATAAAGAATTTTACGGACTCGATGTTAATTCAGTGCAGTCATCATTTGTTAATGCTTGAGATAATTGAAAATTTACGAAAAAAAAAATTAAAGATTCAAAAGGTAAGTTACACGGATAATGAAAATCATAAAATTCTCTTACTAAGACAATTGGAATGGGACAGAGAGGCATTTATAAAAATTTAACATCAAAATTTTCTTTAATACGTTTTTTGTACGGGTATATTTTTTATACCTTCTTGTTGCAAAACATCATCTGCATTTATACATTACTTATACATGCACTTATATTACAAATATTTAAAGACTGTGTCCAAAACCTCTGCAATAAACAATAAAAGCAATACATGCATTTGTTAATAACTGCACATAACAGCGCTACAGAACCCAGAATTTACGACCGATGTGCAAAACCATATCAAAATAACAACAGGAAAATACAGAGACCAAAGAAACCGCAAATATTAATTTTGTACATTTAATGAATTTTGTACATAAAATGATATTCTGTTTCTGATAATTATACTTGAAACATTTAAAAACAGACCATAAAAAACGTATTTATAACATAAAAACCAAACCATTTCGTATATTCACTTAAAATCCCAAAATATAAAATTCATTGATCAAGTACGAAATATAAAAATTTACTCAGGATGCAAAAGACACATAAAGAGGGACGAACGATACATGAGAAACAGGGGCGACGATATGCAACGCATTATATTAAGGCGGTTGAGAGACAAGACACCGCGATAATTCATCAGCAGCTCCAAGACCACTCAAAGCATAAGCTGATGAGTGTTATAAACTGGCCAGCCCCAAAATAAATGTACACTAGCTTGCTCTATAACTGATTTACTGGTACTATATAATTAAATAAGTGAGCTGTTACATCATACAAAATAATACAAAATAATACGTACATACAGCGTGATTCAAAACTCAGCTACACTATTTATTCCACGAACCATTACAGGAATGTACACTAATGGTTGAGCATATGTTACGGCTAAAAGGCGCTTGCCTTTTGGGGAACACGGACATCATGATCGTCAAAAAGACATGCAATATCCGAATTTAATCTAAAATTCCTCAGGAACATAGTAATGCAGTTAGTTTTTCGATATTTGATATAATGATAGAAGATAACGACTTACATAAATGACATAAATGGGTTGTTAAAAAGCTGTTATTTCTTCATTATAAGTGATCCGCGTCACTGGAAGTCTAGCCCACCAGCCGCTAAACATTGGTAGTTCGGTTCGGGGTTCGAATCCCGGTGAACGGACTGGCTGCATGGGTGTTTTCGTGGTTTTCCTCATCTGTAACGTGTATACAAGAAAGTTTCCCTTAGAATTTCCTTCACGAAAGCATCCCTCTCCTTAGGCAGATAGCCCTTGAGTGCTTTGCCGTATTTAAATATACCATGCCATACCAATGAAAGTCTAGGCGAAATAAGATCGTCCATATGACAAAGGTGAAGGAAACTACCTTGTTATTGTTGGTGAGTTTTAACAATATTTCCCCAACAGAAGTAACATTATTCTAATTTGGTGTTGGTGTATCTAATTATGGAAAAGCACACGAGGGCTATCTGCATAAGGGGAGGGATGCCTTCGTGGAGGACTGGCTCGTATACACGTTACACATGGGGAAAACCACGAAAACATCCATGCAGCCAGCCCGTTCGCGAGATTCGAACCTCGAACCGAACTACCAATGTTCAGCGACTTTACCGCTCGACCGCTGGTGGGCCTTATTCTAATTTGAAAGAGATAAGTATTAAAACAAAATCAGTAGAATGGGAACTGTGCATGACAAGCACCGCAATGGACGAACATGTCCACAAACGAAGAAGACAGTGAGACAATTATTTTCAACGTCTATTAACAGTCAAGCTTTAAATTGCTTACTATCCTTTCTTGGTTTTTGTCACATATATTCGCCCAGACAGGAAGGTTATGCAAACTGTAGTAGTTGCACAGAATCGAATTATATTGGAGGTTCTTAATTCTAACTCATGCTGCTGTAGAAAGAGATCTTAGGCCATCATACTTAATTAAGAAGCTTGATTTTATTGGTGAGAATTGTTCGGGTTGGTGAAATTGAGTTTCCGTCCAAGGGATAATTGAATTAAAGTCTAGTTGTTTCTAAAATTTAGTTCAGATGTCTTTTCGGATCTTCCACGATTGATTTCGTAATTTTTTACTTATTACATACAGGGTGGTTATAATTAACGTTCTATCGATATTTTGAAATGGTCATAACAGGAAAACTACCAGGGCAAATGTTATCAAACTTGGTAATAGTATAAAGGAGGCCACGGGAATTTATTTTCTGAGAAAACAAAAGTTCAAAAACTCACCACCAGGGGGAAATAGCACTGTATGCAATATTGTTAAATATGAAGACATCGGTTTAAAATATGTTTAATCGTTTCTGAAACGTGTTACAAAGCAAGTTCAATGTGCCGTCCACCATTTCTCGAAAGCAAGTTGAATCGTATTATTGCATTTTCAACAGCAGCTCTTAGCATATCAGGGGGAATGTTACGGACATGTCGGTGTATCGTAGCTTTCAATTCCGCCAAATTGTTTAGATTATCACCATAAACAGTCTTCATGTCTTAGGGCCGAATTCGGGCTTCAAAAATCATAAATTAGTGATCTGTAAGAAAACTATTTCCGGAAAGTGCACACTTTTGCGAGTGATTTGCAATCTCACATTTTCCGATGGCTAATTTGTGGTTTTAACAGACGGATTTCACCGTTACACGGATGGCGCACACGACTTTTATCACCTTTAACGCCTTGGTAATTTTGTTTAATAAATGGTAATTTTGTTTAGGTCAATGTTTTTTAAGATCAATGTTTTTTAACATGTTAAACCCGTGTAACAAGAGGTTTAATTAGATTCCGACCTTTATTTCGTTAAGAATATTGCACACAGCGCCATTTCCCCCCCTGGTGGTGATTCTTCGAATTCTTTTTTTTTCCCCGCGGAAAATCAATTCCCATTACCTCCTTTACACGATTACCAGGTTTGATAAAATTTGGTCCTGTAGTTTTCGTTTTATGATCATTTCAAAGCACTTTGAAATGGTCACCAACCACCCTGTATATTGTATATTTTGTGTCTTTAGAAGTAGACCTTTACTTTGCACATTACGCATATTTCAATTTGTGTACTTGCACTGAAATGTTAACAAATTTTCTGTTAATTTAATCTTTCAACCCTGAAATTCTAATTTCTGACAAAGGCCATAATTTTCAGACGCAATTAAGATGCCTCTTCGGCCGTTAGATGTCAGAACAGAAGCTCAGAGAAAGTATAAAGCTGTTATAGCTCATTTTAATGAAGAATCCTCAAAGCAATATGCGTAAGATATCCTTAGAAACGGGTATCAGCTAAAGTTCGATTATACAGGAATACGTACAAATAAATGGCTTCAGTATAATTCAAGCCCCTACAAAGTATTCTGTTCAGCGGTAAGCCTCTTTTTTTTAGAAATGGGGTAAGGTAACAGAAAATAGCACTAATACGCTGTGATTTAAATCCATTATGATTCTACTAAAATTGATGATTAGGGCAAAATCATTGTACGAAGTTTTTTTTACATTTCACAAGAACGATCTAAATTCAATCTTGATTAGTCATTCAACAAGGATCATCTAAATTCAATCTTTTGATTAGTCAATAGTATGCTTGATTAGCTGGAACAAAAAAAAATGAATGGTATGCTTGATTTCATGGAACAAAAAAATAACAGTTTAACACTTTATATAAGTGAACGTCATAAGCCCTTATTACCTCTAACGTAATTCTATCTATAAACTAACTACACTTCTAAGTTGACGAAAATATTCCACCTTTAATTCACATACCAAATGCTTAATTTTCCATTAGGAACATACACTCGTGTGCACAATTAAAAGAATTTGCAAATTACGTCTATTTTTATTAAACGTACTGACCAGGTACTAACTACGCCGCCGAAGAATTGTGCAAATATTCAGAGTTCAATACCTAAGCGTACGTGTGCGTGTCTGCGGAGCTATGCTTGTGGAAGGGATTTTTAAGCACACGAGGAGTTTTCAACGATTTGTGGGCTCGTACTCTTTCATGACATTCGGCGTGTTTCTCGCAAGAGTTAAGTAAATTTTAAGGCATCAGGCAGATCTATATCGGAAAGACCTGTACAAGGCTGACCAAGATCCACAACCATGAATAAGGATCGCTATTTGGCACTTTTAGCGTGGTGCCTCAGGACTGCTACAGCTTCAGAGCTCTCACGTCAGCTGTATGCTGACACTGAAACCCAAGTTTCACGGTCTACAGTTGTTCGAAAGCTTCATGAGATAGGGCTGCATGCCAGAAGATTCGTTGTTTGCGTTCCGCTCACAGCAGCACACAGGCGTTTAGCATAGTACAGACAACATGCGACTTGGACCAAACTTCAGTGGAGCACCATGCTTTTAACAGATGAGTTGAGATTCAGCCCGGACACTGATTCTCGATGTACCTGTTTGACTATAGAGTAGACCATAATAGTTCCAACCTTCCTTCATCATGGAAAAGTATCATTATAGATACCGAGATGTAACGGTTTGGGTAGACATTATTCTGGATGGCTGCAAACCCCGGCATGTGTTTGATAAAGGCTTCCTGACTGATATGAGGTATAAACATGATATTCCCAAGTTATAGCCGTATGTTCGACTTTTGTGGAGCGCAGCTGATCCTCGGTTACTGTAAATGGATGACGAAGCTCGTTCGCATAAGGCTCAGTTGGTCAATGGGTCGAAGATTACGTGGAAAGTGAGGATATTCGGCGCATGGATTGGCCAGCCAGATCGCTTAACTTTCCCCCTATAGAGCATATCTCAGACGCTCTTGGGAGGGCATTCTCATCTCACCATCCCTTTCGAGAACCATCACGGAGCTGAAAATTGTTCTGCTGCAGGAATGAGATCGACTGTCACAGGAACTCCTCAACTGCCTCTTATCCAGTATGCCGTACGCCCACCACTGGCCCAGCGATAAAGTCGTTGAACATTGGTTGTTCTGTCCTAGGTTCGAATCTCGCGAACGGGCTGGCTGCAATTGCGTTTCCATGGTTTTTCCCATATGTAACGTGTATACGAGCCAGTTCCCCTTAGAAAGCCCTCCATGAAAGCATCTCTCCCCTTAGGCGGATAGCCCTTTGAGGCTTTGCCGTAATCGCATAAACCAAACCAAACCAAACCAGTATGGCGTTACGTGCGTGACCTGTCTGGCTGAGAGAGAGGATCAATACCCATATTTCACTCATTTTCAGTTCGATTTCATAACATCGATTTTTGACATCCCTGTACTATCAGCTTTACTGATCATCATGCGTACATAAAATGACTTTTGAATGGTATATTTCTTTCTATGTTATAAATGCATATTCATCTGCGAATTAGTTTTTCAGAAAGTCGACAAAATGTGTAAATTCTCTTAATTTTGCGCACGTTTATACCTAGCAAAATTCAAGATGGCAGCATGGCCGATGTCAAAGCCATTACAACCGGTGCAGTAGCACCGCGCGGCAGAATTTAGGATAGAGCGGAATTTGCAACGGGCAGTGTAAAGCCTAGCGCTGGGCCTGCATAGCATCCATCATGTTCGTACCCTCAACAAGTAGCGCTTTCTATTGAAAATGTAGTTTCGATTGCTGAAATGGTTTACGAAAGAAAACCTTTTGGAAGGCGCTTTCAGATTTTTGAATCCCATTGTATATATAAGAGATGCTTCTCGATAAGAACAATGTTGAGGAAACCCACAGAAGTGCCCTAAACATGCACATTTACAAGAAATAACACATTTATATGAATAAACAGAAATATAAACCATAGTTTCAAATTAAAACCATACATAAAATTAAAAGGTTACAAAACAATATTGAAAATCTTCTTTTTAGTAAGATCAAAAGTGTTTTCGAAATATCACATACTAAGTCATTAAAAACTAAATTTTCATAAAAAAATCATATGAAATTTTGTTTTTTACACTGTTTCTCTATGGCCACCAGTATTGAAAAATACTTGTGAATTCACTTTCAAGTCAGAATCAAGAGCAAGTCGCAGAGCTGGGTAAATTGCACTGCTGTGAGCTATAATTCCATCTAATCTGCAAATAAAAGAAAATCAACTGAATGAAACATATCTAGATATGAACATAAATTGTTAATATCGAAAAATGCGTTCACATTTCGGTGCACATATTAAAGAACTAGCTAGAAGCATTTCACAAATAGGTTTACAAAGCATATATACATGTAGTTTAAGGAGGGTACCAATCAGACATACATGTCATGCTATGAAACGGCAGCGTTAAAAATTTATAAAGTTATTTCGCAACGCATAGATCATCGATTCTCAACTGGTAGTACACGTACCACTGCTGGTACGCAAGAGAAAACTAGGTGGTAAGCAAAGAAACAAAATATTTTTAACAATTAAATTCAAAAATCTCGTGAAGAAAAAGAACGATTGGTAGAAATTTTCAGTGATCGAACTCTAGCTAAAGATTTCCAAAATCACGTACTTGTTAACTTTAGGCTGAACTGAAAAAAAAAAAAAAAAAAAAAATTTTAAAGGCATTTCAAACAAAGCTAGTAAATTTTTATTCCCTTTCTGCACAACCTATTTGTGTGAACAAAGATTTTCTTCCATGTTATATTTGAAAAAAAAAAAAAAAAAAAAAAAAAAAATATCAAAAAGTGGATCCTAATTTAGGGTTAAAACCAAGTGGAATATTGACCAGACATAAAGAAATTGATCTCTGTTAAACAGGCCCAAGTTTCACAATAAATTTTAGAAATAAAGTATTTTAACTTAAATTTTTAAAATTAAAAAGGTAACCAATTTTTAATCTAATATTTTTATGTGTGCTTATTTAATACAAATATTCAACAATTGAGAAAATGAAAAATAATCATTGTAAAATGCAGTGGTGGTACTAAAGTTTTCAGTTTTTGTTCACGTGGTTCGCGTTAGTCAAGTCAAAAGGTTAAGAACCGCTGGCATACATCATATAGATATAACTATGCACGATAACATATTCGAGGGTTTCTTAAACTTTTTTCAGTCGCGACCCCTTTCTATGACAGATTTTTTCGCGACCCCTAGGACCCCATAATATTTACAAACATTTTTTAGACCCCCATAAGGATTGTGCAAATCCGACACACGCGTGAGTGAAACTGTCAATTTCTTCACTTGTTACTGTAATATACTATTGCAGTTTTATATCATTAAGTTCAATTTTTAATTTTAAGACATAGAACAATATGAAAAGTAACAGACGAAATGACAGCGTCACGTGCAAAGCAAGGAAAATGAACGTTTATATAAGAAAAAGAATGCGTCAAAAAGTCGTTTTTTTTTTTTTTTTTTTTTTTTTTTTTTTTTTGTCTGTATTACCTTATCTTTATCTATTTTCAGATACATTGTGTAAAAATATTTGGTAATTGTAAAATTATTATACTAAGTTAAAGAAATATCAAAACTGCTAAAAATTTTGGCGACTCCCTGCTGTAGGTCCCACGACCCACAGTTTAAGAAACCCTTGACATATTCCATTCAGAATGCGTGTGCTTCCGAAAGCTCAAAGACTACGATACGCTAAATGTTTACAAACTTCGCCCACAGTGCTTATTTTCATTTCCATTCAGAAACGTGATCAAAAACTGAACAATATTTGTTGTATTTACCAGAAATGATCTCATATACTTTTCATTCTACAGGGCTTGATATATCACGGGGGGTACGAAGTGGATTCGCGATCACTCAGATTTAAAAAATAGAGATATAACTGTTTTAAATGCCTACCTTATCATTCTATTATACCCAGTAAAGATAAGATCGTTGAAAGGATTTAAAGACGTCTTGTACGGCACGATGATAAAACTATCAACATGGGTAGAGGGCTAAAATGCATTCATTATACATAACGATCATTACTTTCGGTTAAATGCGGCTGGAATTATGTTTACATTACACGATGACAACATTTAACTGCTGGTTAAATTAATCAATAAGGGTTAAATTAATCAAAAGAGAAAATACACATGTATATATATCTCACTTGGAATTGACAAGAAAAGAAATAGAGATTCAATTCTTTAATGAAATAACTTGATAAATTGTTTGTATATAATTAAAATATATTTATGCTTCAGAAACCTTATAAATTACTCAATATGTGCAAGTATGCTTGGATAAGTAACAACAATACACCATAGCAAATATTACATTAAAAAAATACGTTACACAAACAGAAAAAACTTACTCAGATACATCCAGGGCTTTCAAAAAGTCTTTAAAAACTTGGGTTTTCTCTTCAACAGAATGTCGAAAAAGTTCTTTCTTGTGTTTTCCAGATAAATATAATGTTGCTAAAGTAAAATGGAAGATGTTAATTAGAACAGTAGATTTATGAATATTTTACTACAACTGATTAGTTTTCACATAATGAAAGTAAATCTGAAACTACTTTTTCACATTTTAAAATGGCGCCTTATAAAAAGTTTTCTAACAATCATACCTAACAGCGTATTCCGTAAGTAACATAGGCGTCACAACTTGGGATTTGACTGAACTTAAGCACCGCACCTCCTATCAGCTACCGATCTATCCTTGAACTAGCTAAACGGAAACCAGCTTTGGATAGTTTCTTATTAAATGGATGATTATCCAAACAAAGCTTTTAATGAATACAATTATTTTGAATAATATAAGCATCTATTAATTATTTTTTTACTCCGTCATTTTTATCGATACAATCCTGAATATAAAAATATGATTGTTTTATATATGAGAACCGATTTATGATTACTAGACTGCCCTCTCTCATGAAATTTACACCAGATAGCATCTATAATCTGAACTATGTTTTATTTACGCTAATTTTTATACAGACAACTATGGAGAAAAATGAAAAGTTAGTTTTTATACAGATTACGGGCAAAGATGAAAAAGTTAGTTTCAAAGTCTCATTAATACTACAATATTTTTTTTTAAAGCTTAGCCTCTGATTTAAATATGCTTGAACAGTAAAGAAGTGAAAATACCGGGAACTCATTTGGGGGCAGAGTTGACCGAAATGCTGATAATGGAAGACCAAAGTTCAGTAATCTGAGAATAAGATAGCCCATAATATTTATAATTTTGTTACTTCCCACCTGTCGAGAAACGTTTACTCCATACGAATAGTGTATTGAGAACCATTACGAAATCATCCAGTAACTACTACAACACAGGCAGAATACTTTCTGGTTAAGAGGCTTTATGTATTTGAATCTATTTGAATCTCATTCTGATACTTTATTGGCCTTTTTATTTCACCTGAAGACAAAGTGATCTTTTTTTAATTAAAATAATCTTTTTCAGTTAGCAATTCTTTGCCAATCACTCAAGGCACAGTTTTCTTTTACTAAGAGCTAAATATAAACGGAAAATGTACACGGTGATTATAATTAAAGTTGCGATTTTAAAGAGCTGTAACTTTAAAACTACTTGTCAGAATGACTTGATATTTTACTAGAACAATCGTGGGATAAGGGAATTTGTTTGGAGAAGGAAAAAATAGTTTCCAATATATGCCGATAGATGGCGCTGCCAGGGTTCATATTGCTGTTGGTATGCAAATTACTAAGACATAACATGCGCACTGCAGGCATGGCTAAGATAAAAATGCAGAGAACTAACGACACACATAATGTTTTGCCTGAGTGCTTCATCATGATTCTGATGAAGGACCGTGCTCTTCTCCTGAAGCTTTTCTATTAGAATGGTGACTATGAGTTAACAGCTATCAGGAAGTTCCGGACATTAAAAGGCATAAAATCTGGCCCAATGATCACATATGGCCTGCGGAAAATGATAGACAAATTCGAAGAGACCGGTTCATTTGACGTGAAACGAGGTAGAGGACGAAAACCAGTTTCGGCGGCGACAGTGGAAAATGTAGCCAAAAACAGACAAACAGTGATGCTGAAATCAACAATGCACGGGGAACTGGCCGAACGTTGGATATGTCTATCAGCACAGTGCGTACAGTCTTGCGGAACATCTTGCGCTGTTACCCATATAACTCACGTGCATCAGTTGCTACCTGCTGACCTGGAAACGCGTGAATCGTTTGCGCTACAATTTCTTGCCCAGATGGAAGTGGATATTGAATAAACCTTGGAACATTCTGTGATTTGACGAAGCTCATTTCCATTTGCAAGGTTTTCTAAATACCCAAAATTGCAGGATATGGACGACCGAGAATCCGTTCCCGCTGCAGCCATTACCTCTTCACTCTGAAGAGGTCGCTGTATGGTGCGTAATACCACCAGCGTTTGTCGTCGGTCCGTTCTTCTTCCAGGAGATCACACCTGCGGATTCCGTTACCTGCGCCGTTACTGGTAAGCGGTATGAAGCACTTCTGCGTAACCATGTTCTTCCGGCACTTCAGCAACGTCAATGTGTGGATCGCACAATATTCATGCAAAAGGGCGTTCCTCCGCCCATTGCTAGTCGTGTGAATCAGTCGCTGATCACTCATTTCGGAGATGATAGAATCATAAGCCGCCATTTTCCAACAGCGTGGCCGCCTAGCTCTCCCTACTTAAGCCCGTGTGACGTTTGGCTCCAAGGATATCTGAAGAATGTTGTTTACAGTAGGCGGATTGCGAATCTGGTCGATCTGAAGGCAAGCATCACACACCATGTTCATAGCATCAGCACAGGTACCCTCCGATTTATTGTGGAACATGCAATTTTACGCTTCCAGTTAGCAACGGCGCAAGGAGGAGAGCCATATCGAACAACTTATACGTTAATCATCCCTAAGGTGTTTGTTTCGTGAAGCTTCTATTCTCACTATCGCTGTTTGCTCTGTAAATATGTTTTCTTGTCTTTCCGATAATAAAATTGTCGTAAACCTTTAGAGTTTATTGTTTCCTTTCGGCTATACATCCTCAACAACAATGTGGACACTAACAGCGCCATCTATCGAAAAATTTTGGAACTTTTTTTTTCCTTCACTAAACAAAATTCCATTATCTCAGGATTGTTCTGGTAAAATATCAAGTCATTCTGATCTGTAGTTTTAAAGTTAGAGCGTTTCGAAATCCCAACTTTAATTATAATCACCCTGTACAGAAATTCCTCTAACGAAAATGAATCTGCAGGAATTTCAATTTTTGTCAGATATAATGTATCGGAATATCTTCCTTTATACCAGAGAATGAATGAATGAAACTGTTAAACGTTAGCTTTTTTTGAGGAAAGGTTTGATAACAAGTTTTCATGGTTTTACTAATGTGTAATGAGAATACGATCCAGCTTCCCTTAGAAAGTCCTAAAAGAAGGCATCCATCCTAAGGTAGATAGAATCCACGTGAATACTCGGGCTGAAATGTAGAGCTTAAGGTTTATTGCATATATAATGACTGCATGCCCCAAGAAATATACATACATACATATGCTTGTATACTTGGCAGCATACAGTCATTATATACTGCAGTATAACAATTTGTTTTTTTAAACAAAAATATCCCAACATTATTTCCGCACAATATGCAGCTCAAAAATAAGTCAATTATTAGACAAAAAAGAAAGAAATTAAGAACCTAATTTACAAAGACATGAAAGAAAAATTAAAACCAGTAAAATTCCAAAATTTTATTCTCCTCCCCCTCCCCCCAGAAAAATTAAAACCAGTAAAATCCTCAAAATTCCGAACATAAAAACATCAATTATAGTTTTCAAACCAGAAGAAGTTCCAAAAGCAACAGAAATATATAAAAATAATATAAATAGGAAGAGGAATACAAGCAAAATCTGATTTAACGTTATCAAGAGAAGGTAGATCAGATTCAATTGAATCCCTCCCCCAAGACAACCATTGCGTTCCTTGTGATCACCCCAAATTAGTGAACGAATCATCTTAAATTATTTAATTATAATAGTTTCATCCTAAAATTCTGAACGCCTTCCCGAAGCAATAGCTCTTCATTCATAAGAAATAAAAATGTACAAAAACAATTCCACATGATATGAATTCAATTTAAAAAAGTAAAAGAAAAATAGATACTATATAGTGATATTAAAATTCAAATTAAAATGTAATAATTACAAAGTAAATAACAATTAACAGAGAACCATAATTTTTTAACTCACCGCTGTTAGAACAAAGGAACAAAAGACAGCAATACAAAACGCAAGAGTAGATGCTAATGGTTGCTTCTTTGTCGCCATTGGGCGAAACAAATTGGCGATGGAAAGTCTGAAATCTCCCCAAAGTTCATTTCCCTACTTTTCGATTTCAAAAAGCATGTGATGCAAGGAGAAGAAAGGGGGGAAGAAACAAATGCTAGAAAAGAATAAAACTTCCACATCATGACTACCTAGAATAAAGTAGGCCCCCTGTCGCTAAAAGTACAGTCAAGTAAAAGTCCACTGTATCATATATATATAAATTACAGTAAGACCCCGCTTAACGCTGTTTCGTTTAGCGCTGTTTCGGTTTAGCGCTCTTTTATTTCAACCCGGGGATTCCACGAAATCGCTCGCAGCATACGGGTTGGTGTTGGTGTATTTAATTATGGCAAAGCACACGAGGACTATCTGCCTAAGGGGAGGGATGCCTTTCGTGGAGGACTTTCTAAGGGAAACTGGCTCGTATACACGTTACACATGGGGAAAACCACGAAACGCCCATGCAGCCAGCCCGTTCGCGGGATTCGAACCTCGGACCGAACTACCAGTGTTCAGCGACTTTACCGCTCGGCCGCTGGTGGGCCGCAGCATACGGGGATTCCCCAAAATATTATGCAGCGATAGGTTCAAATACACATCCGAAAGAGTGTACTTGTATTTCTTGTTTGGTGCGGTATTGTACAGACATATTTTGAAGGGGTAAATGTGGAAGATATCGAAGAAATAATTCAAGAAGCAGCGGCTAGTCTTTCTAATGATGAGCTCAAGGAATTAACTGAACAAGAAGAAAACAAAAATGTTGACAGCAGTGATTCAGAAGAAGAGCAAAAAGAACTTTCGATGGCGTTTGTAAAAAGGAGTTTGTCTACCATAACTGAAATAATGGATCAATTCATTGAAAATGATCCGAATTTTGACAGGAGCTCAAAAGTAAGGCGTGGTGTTAGAGATGCTCTATCCGTTTATGAAGAACTTTTAAGAGAACAACGCAAAAGAAAAAGGCAAAACACATTAGATGCTTTTGTCACAAAAAGGCAGAACACTGAAAACGCGGAAGGCTAACTAAAATATGACTGACTGAGAATTTTATTTGTTTTTTTTTAAGAATATTCGTTTTTGTTATTTATATTTTGTTTTTATTTTTGCAAGAAATAATAATGTGGTATTAATTTGGGCTTTAAGAAAT